ATCTCCAAGCTTCAACATTCAGGCATTGGGAAATATTCTTGAAGCCCTTCTCAACTAGGCTTTGTTCTAGATGCCAAAGAAAGACAGGCCAGCTCTGTCTCCTTGGGCCTTACCTTCTAGGGAAGAAACAGAGAGGAAACACCTGTCCAGATGAACAAACTAAGAATTTCAGATGCTGTTGTTTTTTGCTGTGTACTGTTGAGTGAGAACTGACTCTCTAGAAGGTTTTCAAAGGCAATAAGGGAGGTGATTGCCTGTCTTTCTCCTGTGGAGCAGTTGGTGGATTTGAGCCATGTGGCTTTTATGGCAGTACGTACAGCTCCTTCCCACAAAGCCATCAGAGATAGACCTGAGCAATTGCTTAGAGAGGTCTTGATGGGAGCAGAATGGGAACGAGGCTGTGTTAGCCAGTGGATCAGAGAAGACCTCCACTAGGCTGGGGAGAAAATGCTGAGGGTTGATTCTAGGGGGCGGGCAATCCGGACTGAGGGATACAAACTGTGTTTGTTCTATGGCTGGTGTGGCAAAGAGCATCCTGGCCACGTGGGCGGGCCAGAGACCAAGTCATGCAGATTTCATTCTGAAGGCAGGGGAAAGCCTTTGGATGTGTTCATGTTCAACATAGTAGAATCTGACAGACCTTGAGCAGATCATTCTGTGGTGTGGAGAAGGGTCTGTAGGGATGTGGGGTGGCAGCAGGGGCAGGCACAGCCAGAGGTAACTGTGGCAGTTGTGGGGAACAGGGTGGGAAGTGATCTGGCGGGGCAGTATTTGTCAGGAACTTCTGATGGATTGGATGTGGGAGGTAAAAATCGAGGATGAGTGTGTGGTTTTGGCCTCAGCTCATAGGCTTGTTTACTGAGTACAGTTACTGTGCTCATGGTCACTGGGTTGATTCCTACTCTTAGTGACCCCGAAGGCCAGAGCAGAATCATCCCAGAGGTTCCGCCAGGTTGACGGGAACAGACTTCTGTGGCTTTCTTTTTCTGAGAGGCTGATGGGTTTGGACCAGTCATCTTTCTGTTATTAGCCACTGTGCTGCTGAGTGAGGGCAACGGGACTTAGGGTGTGAAAAAATCAGGGGAAGCTGAAGATGCCTGTTGGGTGTCGCGGTGGACCCACCCAGATGGAGAAAGGGCTCAAGTACATTGGTTGAATGAGTGAATCGATGGCAGATGGTCGTCAGATGAATACTTTTATTTTTATATCAGAACTCCTCACGTCACTTGGATAAACATAGTACACACGCTAGCAGAGCAGTCCGGCATTCAGTGTTTGCATGTCTCTAAGAAGAAGAGCCAGAATACCTTAGACGTGAACATGATGAGACTTCATCTTGCTTTCCATGGACAAGTCATCTGGAACGAGTCATCACTGAAAAAGGACATCATGTTGGGGAAAGCAGAGGGTCAGTGAAAACGAGGGACACCTTCAATGAGACACACACATCAACCCACACACACAATGAGCTCACACACACCCACAACTGTGAGGACAGCACACACTGGGCAGTGTTCGGTTCTGTTGTACTAGGACTAACAACCAAAAAATTCTTACTTATATACTTGCAGAAAGTTATGGGCACTCAAACAATTGAAGTTATAGGTGTGGGTTGCTGTCTAGACCATTGGATCTGACACCACTTAATGTAGAGGGGTAATTCTATAGGATTGGGCAGAGGGAGGAAAAGAAGGGAGTCCTTAGCAGCCTGGCCTTCGGGCAGGGCTGTTTCCCAAAGCCTACAGGGTGGGGCTTCCCATCCCCTTGACAGTCTTGTGCCTTCCAGACAATGGCCCTGGAAAGGCCCCTGGGGATGTCCTGAGAGAACCTCTAACTTGAAGTATAAATGCAGTTCTGTCAAGAACAGTAAATGCAGCTGCCCTGCCCAAGGGTGGGACCTGCTGGAAGGTGCCCTGCCCTGGGCTGTCCTCCCTCCCACCACACAGCTGGAGGCTGTGCCCACGTTCTGTGTGGGAGCTCCTTTACTCAGCTGCCCACTCTATCTGAACCAAAGCTCACTGAACAAGAAGACATTAAACATCATTGGAAAGCACAGAAATTTTGACAAGTGCTTAAAGATGGAGGACTGGAGCGATGAAGCAGGGGCTGCAGCCTATAAACTTGGGCTTGCCCTGCCTGCCCGGAGTCCTTGGCTGCAAATGCTCAGCTGCTAACTTGGCTGTTTGAGTCCACTCAGAGGCACCTCACAATAAAGTCCTGGAGGTTGACTGCTGAAAACCCAGCCCCAAAACCCCTGTGGAACACAGTTCTCCTTGACTGGTTTTTTAACCCTGTGGACCCCACTGCTTAGGGAGCACACACGGAGGGTATGAGAGCTGCTTGGGATGTGGAGAATAAGAGAGGAGGGAAATTTTGAGCTGAAAATCCCTGGGATGGAGTATGATTTCACCAGCTTGAAAAGGGAGGAGACAGTTCCAGGCAGCAAGTGCTGAGGGAACAAAGGTGTGGCTGTGGAGTGTGGGGGATGTGTGGGGGCAGGAATGTGTTGGGGCCTCTGAAGCCCAGCAGTGGTGGTGGCAGTGATAATGGGGCCAAGCTTGGAGGATCTCCTGAAGGGGTGAAGTCTCTTGCTGAGGCTCAATTCTTAACCCCTAATGTTGTAAATGCCCAGATCTGGCAGGCAGTCTGGAGACGTGGGCAGAGCCTGGGCCTGGTTGTTAGAAGGCCTGGACTCTGGCCCTGGCCCTGCCACCACATAATGCCAGCTCTTGTGGCTTTAATTTCTGTCTTTGCAAAATGGGAATAAATAATAATACTGATAATGCTAGCTACTATTCATGGAGGCATTATTCCATGCTGGGCATCCTTCTAAATGTTTTACAAATGTAATTTTATCAAATTCTCACATTATGAAAAAAATGTAGGAACAGTAAGGGCAATGGCTGAACATGATGAACAGAATTAATGTCACTATACATAAGGAGCTCTGGTGGCTTAGTGGTAAGGAGTTGCGCCCCACAGGAGAAAAGATGAGCAGTCCTCCCTCATGGGATTTACAGCCCCTGAATACCCATTGGAGGTTAGATACGAGTTGGTTCCTACAGCACACAACAACAACAACAAACTATACACGTGAAGATTGTGGAAATAGCAAATGTTTATATGTGTATATGTGTGTGTGTGTGAAAGAGAGAGAGAGAAAATATATATTTTTTATTATTAGGTGACATCAAGTGAAGTATGACTCATGGCAACCCTATAAACAATAGATCTGAATCCTGTCCTATCCTGTGCCAACCTCAATCTCTGACACACTCAAGCCCATTACTGCAGTCACTGTGTAAATCCATCTTGTTAAGGGTCTTCCTCTCCCCAAATACACACACACACATGTATATATATTTAGGAAAAATATACACGTAAAGAAATACATGAATCTCTGTATATTGTGTGTTAATTATTATTGGGATGAAAATATATATTAACTCAATAATTTCTGTTCATCACTCAGTGATATTCTTCAAGTGGTACAATCATTCTTGCTACACTTTTCCAAATCATTCCAGTTCCATTAACATCACGTGTACACGGGAAAGATCCAGTGTGAAAACAATGTATGCAAACTTTTAAGCAAACCAGCCTATAATAAAAATCTTATTTTTAAAAAAACCCACGACAACAAACATCAACTGTGCACCCACTAAGCATCTTTGGTTTCTACACATGAGCTTATTTCATGTTGTTGTTGTTATTGATTGCCTTTGTGTTGATCACAACTCATAGTGACCCTATGAACAAAAGGCCTGAAGCCTTTCTATAACTATTGTCATTTACCAAAGTTCACAGAGTTTCCAGAGGCATGTGGTTTAGGAAGTGGATGCCACTTCCGCTGAGAGTATCAAGTATTTGTCCTTTTGGGTCTGGCCTATTTCACGTAAGGAGCTCTGGTGGAATAGTCCCTAGTGTATCGCACTGTTAACCAAAAGGCCCAACATCTCTCATGGTTCAAATGCATCAGCTGTTCTGCAGGAGAAAGATGGGCATTCTCCTATCTAGATTTACAGCCGCGAAACAATGGGTCTTGTTGTTATGTGCCATTCAGGTTTTCAGACACTATAAATACCATGGGAGGAGATTGCCCATCTCTCTCCCCGGAAGCAGCTGGTGAATTCAAATCACCTGCTTTTGAGTTGGCAGTGCAATTCCTTCCCTACCAGGTTACCAGAATTCCCTAGAATGGGTCCTAGCTTTTGTTATCATCATCTTCAAATGAGAAAATGAAGGTGAAGCAATCTGCCCAGTACACACACACCCCACCCCCACCCCACACCCACACACCCTCTCTACTAGGAGACTCAGAGGTAGGGCTAGGACATGACTGCCAAGCCCAAGTCCTGTGTGGTCAAAGCTATTGCGGGCTGCCCAGTTCAGGGTCACTTGTTCATTCATGCAACAGGTAATCCTTGAGCATCTGCTATGGACCAGGTACTGTGCTGGGGAGGCAGCACTGAACAGGAGAGAAAAAGTCCCTGCTGTCATGAAGGGGTTATGCTGATGGAGGAGACAGACAATGCATAGTAAATACATTTACAATGAGATCTTTTCAGACTTCCATAAGTATCACAAAAGTAAATAAATCTGTAACTAGGTGTGGCTTTAATGACAGCCAACATGAAGGACGGGTACTGTAAACCAAGAAGTGTGCCTGATTCTTGATATGTTGAGTCATTTATGTTGAGTCCTATGGCAACTGTGTGGGGCAGGTACTATTATTTATTCCATTTTATCATGAGGAAAATGAAGCATAGAGAGGTAACTTGTCCAGGGTGACACAGGAAGAGGAGTGTGGCTGGCAGAGGAAACAAGTGCAAAGCAAAGTCACAGGACACAGTAGATGTGAAATTGCTTTGAGATATATTTAGGTGTCCAGCTTGGGTGCCAGAGAGTGCCTGGTACTCAACTTGCCCAGCAGGGGACAGCAGAAGCTATTGGCAGGGGTGAGGGGCTGTGTCCTAAGTGTCCATTCATTTGTGTCCTAGGAGGCCAACGGGCCTGCGGATGGCTATGCAGCGATCGCCCAGGCTGACCGGCTGACACAGGAACCCGAGAGCATCCGCAAATGGAGAGAAGAGCAGAAGAAACGGCTGCAGGAGCTGGGTGAGGTTGGAGCTGAGGCTGGAATGGGATGGGTGTGGGTGTTAAAGCACTGCCTTCAATGCCAAAACTGGGCGAGGACCACTGGGCTGCATGCAGGGTGGCAGGTGTCGGGCAGCCAGCCAGCCCACAGTTCTTACTGCAAAGCTGCAAATGACTCTCCTGCTGTGGTCGTAGATGCTGCCTCTAAGGTGACGGAACAAGAGTGGCGGGAGAAGGCTAAAAAGGACCTAGAGGAGTGGAACCAGCGCCAGAGCGAGCAAGTGGAGAAGAACAAGATCAACAACCGGTGAGAGGGGCTGTGTAGGAGGCTATAAATGAGTTGGGCCACAGAGATAGCGAGAAGAGGTATAGAGACAATGAGAGGAACTATGTGATAGAGACTACCTAGTGTGGGTGTTCATGACAAGAGCCTGGAAGATTCGGAAACTTCCAGAGCTACTTCTGGGAGTGCACTTGTGGAGCTGACATGCTACTGAGCCTTCACCCGCTTTCAACCATAGAAAGCAAGATTTGTCAGTAAGCAGGAAGGTCTCAGGACTCCAGAATGTGAGGCTGAATGTCCAACGTCAGCAGCTTGGATAGAGAGGACACAAACCTGGTTGAGTGGAGTAGGAGTGGGGAGAAAGAGGGAGGATCAGTCTGCTACAGGGGTTTGCTTCTGGTAGAAATTCCGTTACTTTGACCTTGTGAGACGCAAGGCTCAGGGACAATCACTAGCTGATATGACAGAAAGGCCAGGGGGTGGATTGTAGGCTCAGCAGGGACAGGGGCTCAGACACAGTCAGACTTAATTCATTCTGTTTTCAGTGCTGTTTGCCCCAAGGTTAGCCTGATGGTATGACTCATATCCCTGATATATGGGGAAAGGTCGGCTGCCGGGAGCTCTGGGCTTCTGCCCCATCTTCATGGCTATCCCACTGAAAGCAGTATCTTGTCAACAGCTCAGATCAGAAGTCCTGAGCCTGCTCTACATTGGTCTGGCTTGGGCCATAGGCATATCCCCCAGTCTGATGGCCATAGCCCAAAGCAGCTCTTTGGTGTGTCTAGCCTGGGTTGAGAGTTCCCTTCCTGAGGTTATGCTTAGAATCAATCAGTCAGTCCCATCTAAACCTCAGGGAATGAGTGAGGCAGGGGGATTCTACAATGGAGGTCCCTGGGAGAAAGGGATGGACGCTGGGTAATCAAAGATAGTAGATGCCACCAGAGAACAACTTCATGGGAATTGTCTTACACACTGTCCTCAAGTCTGCATGCTGTGTGGTACAGGCCATGCAAGGAAGCGATTGTCAACTCTGAAACCATTGCTTGCTAGGCTCTTTGTGACACTGGAGATAGGCAGATGAAGAGGGACCAGTTTGTGTCCTCAGAGATGTTAGAGGGGAGAAACCCATGTGGACAGCTGGACTTTGGAAATTCTGTGGGTATGTGGGCTTTGGAGGATAACTAGCTCATTAGGAAAAGGGAAGTGTGTGGAGAAGGACATTCCAGATGAGGAAACAGCGTGGTACTAAATAAAGGACTCTCTGTCTTGGGTCAGAGTCAGCAGAGTGCAGTGAGTTTTGAGAGAAAGGTGGGAAGCAGGGCCATCACACAGTGCAGGACACAGTCTTGACAGATGATATTCTGCAGACACACGCAGTGAGAGCCAGTGGAGGCTTATGAACATGGGAGTAAATATGATAAGGGTTTTCTAAACTCTGTGGCCAGAGTAGAGGATCCTTTCTCTGCCGTCTGGGGTTGTGGCTAGTTCCTGAGCCTGTCTAAATGATGCTTCCTAACATCACTCTCACTTGTGATACTAACGCTGTCTTTCTCTTTCTCTTTAACCCTTGGCCTGCCTGTCCATTTTGCTTTCCTATCCTTCCCTCTCCCACCCTCCATACTGCCTAACCCCTCCCCTAACCTTTCCTTGAAGGATTGCCGACAAAGCCTTCTACCAGCAGCCAGATGCTGACATCATCGGCTATGTGTATGTGTCTCCTTTGCTCCTCTGCCTGGGGAGCTAGGTGGGTGGGGGTCCTGAGTACAGCTGGCACAGTGTCTTGAGCCTCCTGTTTCTGGAGTATGGTGCAGCAAGGCATGGGGCAATGATCCCAACAGGAGGGGAACCTCTTGGGTGGGTAGAGATGACAGCCCTCACCTCCATATCTACTGCACATATTTACTGAGCATCTGTTCTGCCAGCTTTGCTAAATCAAGAGACCTGAGGGAGTGGGGAATGGTGAATAAAGACATCTTCAGGTGAAAGGGCAAAGCACAGAAAATAGTTGTCAGGTGCTATCGAGTTGGCTGACTCGTACCACCCCAGTGTACAATAGACAGCATGCCAACTGGTCCTTGGACATCCTCACAGCTGTTCCTATGTTTGAGCCCACTATTACAATGACTATGTCAATCCTAATGAAAGATCTTCCTCTTTTTTGCTACTTTACCTAGAATGATGTCCTTTTCCAGGTTCCTCCTGATAACATGTCCAATTTCACCATTCTTGCTCCTACGGAGCATTCTGGTTGTTCCAAGACAAATTTATTTATTCTTCTGGAAGTCCATGCATGGTATATTCAATGTTCTTTCCCAACACTATAGTTCAAAGGTATTGATTCTACTTTAGCCTTCCTTATTAATTGTCTAGCTTTGACATACATATGAGGCAGTTGAAAATACCTTTTTTAAAAAAAATACCTTTAACATACAGTTGAAGTTCACCTTAGTCCTCAAAGTGACACCTTTGCTTTTTAACATTGTAAGGAGATCTTCTGCAGCACATTTGCCTTGTAAAATGTCTTCTTTGATTTCTTGATTGCTGCTTCTGTGAGCATTTATTGTGGATCCAAGTAAAATTAAGTCCTTGACAACTTCAATCTTGTATTCATCATGATGTGGTTTAGTGACATTCTGAAAATTTTTGTTTTATATTGAGATGTAATTAACATTGCAAATGTAAGCTGAAGATAAGAGTCTTTATTATTAATATTATTTTTTATGTGTGTACCATCAAATCGGATCTGATGGTACAGGAGTAGACTGCCCCTCCTTTTCTAGCGGAGCATCTGGTGGATTTGAACTATGTACCTCTGGGATTGTACACAGCTTTAGTTTGCTTGGCTCCATAGTCAACAGTCTTGGCACCAGCAGCCAGGAAATTAAAAGGCACATTGCGATGGGAAAGTCTGCTGTTAGGGACCTCTCCAAAGTGCTGAAGAGCAGTGGTGTCTCTCTGGAGACTAAGGTGCGTCTGATACAGGCCATGGTCTTCGCAATCACCTGTTATGCATCAGAGAGTTGGACAATGACCAAGGAGGATAGAAGGAGAACTGATGCCTTTGAGCTGTGGTGCTGGAGGAGAGTACTGAGAATACCATGGACTGCTAGGAAAACAAATAGATTTGTCCTGGAGAGGGTTAAACCGGGTGGCTCCTTGGAGGCAAGGATTCTGAGGCTCCGTCTAACTTACTTCGGACATGTAGTGAGGAGAGACCGGTCCTTGGAGAGGGACATCATGCTTGGGAGGGTGGAGGGACGGCGCAGGAGAGGAAGGGCCTCTATGAGGTGGATTGATTCAGTGACTGGGATAATTGGGATGGGAGTGTCAGAGACAGTGCGATTGGCACAGGACAGAGCGGAGTTTAGGGCTGTTGTACATAGGGTCGCTATGAGTCGCAGGCGACTCGACGGCACATAACAACAACAACAAACACCTCTGGGATTGCAGTGCAGATTCTTGCCACAAGGCCACCAGAGCTCCCTATGAAGCTAGAGTCTTTGATTCTTATAAATTAATACTCAAAGCCTTTGATTTTAGCAAGAAAGTTTTCATCTGCATATTGGAGGCTTATTAATAAGTCTTCTTCCAATCCTGATACTGCATTCTTCTTCATCTAATCTGGTTTCTCAGATTATTTGCTTGGCTTACAAATTGAGTAAGTATGTGAAAAGCCACAGTCTTGACACATACTTTTCCTGATTTTAAACTGCACAGTATTCCTTTTTTTTCTGGTCAAACAACTGTCTATGTATGGGTCTGCATAGAGCACAATTAAGTGTTCTGGAATTCCATTCTTCTCAATACTATCCATAATTTGTTATGATCCAAACCATAAAATGTCTTTGCATAATCAATAAAACACAGGTAAAACAGATAAATCTAATAGTGTGTGCTTTCAGCTAAGGTCCAGTATCGTCAATTCTATCCGTTGTTCCACATTCTTTTCTGAATTTCTGTGTGGATGTACTGCTGTAATCATTTTTTAATTTTTAATTTTTTAATACAAACCCTGTGTCAAGGGCTGACTTTCAATAGATCGCAGTGAGGGAGCTGCACAGCTATGTATGAAACCCTGACCCAGAAGCAGTCTCTGTGGACTCCTTGCAACCATTTTTAAATGATCTTCAGCCAAACTTTACTTGCATGTAATATTATTAATGATACATTTTTGTTATTTCCATATCCATTGGACCATGTTTCCCAGAACAAGCACAGATAAGTAGATCTTCAGTTGATTGAGGTAGCTGTCTTCTGAATTTCTTGGCATAGATGACTGAGTGAGCAGGTCCAGCCCTGTGTCCATTCATTGAGACTCCAGTGGTCTTTCACCACTTCTTGGAGCCTTGTTTCTGCCAATGCCTTCAGGGCAGCTTGGACTTCTTCCTTCAGTACTATTGGTTCTTGGTCCTGTGCTACTTCCTGAATGGTTGAGCAATGGCCAGTACTTTTTGTTTCAGTGGTCTTGTGTATTCTTTCCATCTTTTGATGTTTCCTGTGTTCAATTTTTTTGGTCCATAGAATCCTTATTATACTGCAACTTGCTTCGAATTTTTTCTTCAGTTCTTTCAGATTGGAAAGTGTTGAGCGTAGTCTTCCCTTTTGGTTTCTTAGCAATATGTTGCACATTTTAATACTTTATCTTCTTGATCCACCCTATGAAATCTTCTTTGAGGTCTTTTCATCATTTCTTCAATTTGTTTTAGCTATTCTGTGTTTAGGGAGAGGTGGTGCCTAGTGATAAGAAGCTGTGCTGCAATCCCAAACACATGCGGATCAAATTCTCCAGTTGCTCTGTAGAAGGATGAGCAGTCTCCTCCCGTGTAATATATTGCCTCTGAAAATCCGCTAGAGGGTCAGCTGAGTCAGTTCAGATTCAACAGCACATAACAACAGTAATTCTGTGTTTAAGAGCAAGTTTCAGAGTTTATCCTTGACTTGCATTTTGGGTTTTTTCCTTCTTTCTTGTCTTTTCAATGACCTTTTTTGTCTCTTTATGTATAATATCTTTGATATCTTACAATTCACTGGTCTTTAGTTATTAGTGTTCAATGTGTCAAACTGGGTTTTCTTTCTTTTCCCAAATAGGTTTTGAAATGGTCTCTAAATGCAGGTGGGTTATGCGCAAGGTCATACTTTGACTCTCATGGATTTACTTTGATTTTCTTCGGCTTCAAATTCAGCTTGCAGATGAACAATTAGTGGTCTATTTTGCAACCAGCCCTTGGCATTGTTCTTAATTATATCGAGCTTCTCCATTATCTTTTTCCACAGATGTAGTTTATTTGAATCCTGGATATTCCATGTAATGATGTCTATTTATGTTGTGGAAAAAAGTATTTCCTACAAATAGGCAAAATTCTCATTCAATCTCTAACATCTTTTCTATGTGTAATATAAGAGGCAGCCTTCACATCTCTGCCCCAGAGTTTCCTGCTTCTCCTCAGAATGGACCTTTGGATTCCCTGCTGGTTTTCTAGCTCCACTTTGCAGATTTTGATACTTTTTCTTCTCAAGGGAAGGACTTGGGGTTAAGTCCCATATCCTCTGTTTTCTAGCTGTATAACTTTGAGCAAAGTGACACCTCTGTGTCTGTTTCCACACCTATCAAATGGAGGTCATAACAACAGCAACTGGGAGAATTAGATTAAAAAAACAATTATTTTGCCCTGAGTTTGGCTTCAGCCCTTCCCAGACCACTGTACCCTTTTTGGATCTGGTTGGTACTGTGACTAATTTAAATGTGTGGTAAGTAGGCTTCCTCTTGTGCCATCGTCACCTGACTGACAGTGAGTGACGCCATGGCAGGGAAGGTGGTGTTGTGCTGAAGGAGGAAATGCAGTGATTAAGGAGTGACGTGGACCATGGGCATGTGCCAAGGTCCTGCTGTTCCTGCTGGAGCTGGTTCTCTCTCTGGCACACCCTCAGCTGCCCTGCTGTCGTTGGAGCCAGGCACACAAGGACAAGGCCTTCCCTTCCTTCTTTCTCACCTTCTTTCTTCCCATCTGTTCCATACTTACTGGTTACTACCCAATATGTTGCTCCATTTCAGAAGTTATTATTAAAATATAAAGGAGAGACTCAGTCTGTCCCCTTCCCCTCGCCCTCCATACATCACCGAGTTGTCCCCTGAGATATGTCCTAATTGAGAACTGCGTGAAGGGCACAGTATGCTTAGTGTGTTGTGGTGTTGTTGTTGTGTGCCATTTGCTGGAGGAACCAATGTCAATGTCAAGGATGCTGTACCTCAGACTGGACCTTCAAGTGTGAGAGGGACTTTTGTGCTGGGCAGCGTGGGAAGAAAAAGGCATTCCAAGTGGAGGCAGCAGACAAGGCAAATGCACAGAGACGGGAAGCGCCTCGCTGCCTGGAGTGGCTAGAGGGCTGAGGCTGAGAGGAGGTCCGCTTGGGGCCGTTGCCCTGGCCCTTTTAAAACCACTTAGCTCAGGTTAGCAGCACAACTGCTTGCCCGCTTCACCAGCAGAACTCAAGGCCAGAAGTGGGTTTTTGCTTTTGTCATTGGGTTGGTTTTCCCCCTGCAGGTACAGTTAAACGTGAGCTTTTAAGCATACCACAGCAGGTGAACTTCAGCTCTGACTTGACATTCTTGCTCTTTAATATTTTCAAGAGGTCCTTGGAAACAGATCTGCCCAATGAAATATGTCATTTAGTGTCTCGACTGCTGCTTCTGTGGGTGTTGATTATGGATCCAAAGAAAAGGATCTTATTGACAGCTTCAATCTTACTTCCATTTATCATGATTTTTCATCTTGGCCCATTACTTAGGATTTGTGCTTTCTTTATGTGCTGATGTCTTCTATACCGAAAGCTTTAGTCTTTCCATCAGTAAGTGCTTTAAATCACCTTCCTTTTCTACAAGCAAGGCTTCCATCTGCGTATTGCAGGTTATTATTGAGTCTTCCTGCAATCCTCATGCCACATGCCTAACTTTTATATAACTAAGTTATATAGCCTAACTTCTTGGATCACTTCCTCAGCATTTACATTGAGGGGGCCTCTTGCCTCTGAATATAGACCAGCTGCCCCATCCTCACTTGCCATCAGACCCTACACTGCCCTGCTCATATGTGTAGCCATGTTAGATCCCTAGGCACCTCTCCCTCCCCGCAGTGAGAAGCCGGAGTGGGTGGAGACTCTGATCCTAGTTTAGTCTGGGGAATGAGCACACAGCAGGTCACCATAACCACCAAGGAGGTGCCAGGTCACCAGAACTGGCCCCACCCCTCCTTGGCGAGGCACCTGCAGAGCTCCTACCATCTGCCAGTGCCTGGGACGTGGCAGGACTGGTTTCACTTGAGCAGAACCAGTTGAAGGGACATAAGTTGACTAAACAGGACACAAACTCAGTCCTCTCAGCTAACAGTCCATTACTGCCTTTTCTTTTGGTGACTTCAGTTGCTCCTTATCAGTAATTCCTGTAACTGTTAGGCAGAACTGATGAAGGGAGAGACCACCGGCTTTTCATCCTGACTTGATTCCAGTAAAAGCAAAGACCAGTGGAGCACTCCAGAGGCAGCAGCTCAGTAGAGATAATTAGGAATTTGCATGTATAAATGGTCTCTCTGTGAAGTGTCCTGTCTCTGCCAAGTTTTTAGAAAGGTAGAAAATAGCTGAAGTGCTGTCCTAAATTCCTCCAAGGGCCTTTAGGTGTTGGTAGCCTCATGTTGGAAGCTCCTGATGGGGAGGTAAGGAACGAAGAGTGTAGGGGCTGGAAAGGGCAGAAGATGGTAAGAGAGGTCTGAGGAGGTGAGACTTGTGCCGGTACCCAACTGACACAAAGCAGTAAGCTGTAAGAAGGCCTGGGGGAGAAGTGAGATAACAGCAAGTGCAGAGATCCTGAGGCAGAACCAAGCTAACTTCCTCTGATGACAAGGCTGTTCCTGGAGGGTCTGAGGTCAACGGCACAGGGTTGGAGAAGTGGCCTCTGGACAAGGCAGCCTGACCCCATTAGAGTCCCACCGATCCAGGGGGAAGCGGGACTGCTGGGAAACCTGTCCTCTCTCTACCTACAGGGCATCCGAGGAGGCTTTCGTGAAGGAATCCAAGGAGGAGACACCAGGCACTGAGTGGGAGAAGGTGGCCCAACTGTGTGACTTCAACCCCAAGAGCAGCAAGCAGTGCAAAGACGTGTCCCGCCTGCGTTCGGTGCTCATGTCCCTGAAGCAGACGCCGCTGTCCCGTTAGGTGCCTGCCCACAGCAGCACGGCCACATGTCACGGGCGGAATGGGGTGGTGGTGGGGTGCAGCTCTTCAGGCAGGACACACGCTGCCTCCAGCAGCTGCTGCACACAGCCTGTTCTGTTTCTCCTCATCTCCTGGGCCTGGGCAGGGGACCCGTCACCCCTCTCCCTCTGCCCCTCCCGGCACTATAGCCCAGTCCCTCATGCCTCCCATCAGTCCACTCAGTTGTGACTGTTCCTCCTGATGTATTTTTTTTTCTTGGCTTAAACAGTGTGTTGTTAACTCTTTTTACACTTATTTATTACCATTCTCGTTTCTCTGGAAGCCACACCTGGTGTCAGGGCTGTTTGTACTCAGAAATTTCCCAGCTCCAGGCCTTGAGAGGTGAGGATACCTCTAGAAATCCAGGGGTTCCCAGCCAGGAGTGGGTGTCCCACTCTGCCTGTGCCAATTGCCCCTGCTCCAAGGGCTAAAGGACCTTGCACAGAATACTTTCACAACCTGTCCCTTCTGTGACAAGCCATTATGAGAGGGGGTATGTCATATAGCTCAGTACACCAAGGCTTCCAGCGGATAAAGGGCTCTAAATAGGAAGGAAGAAGTAATGTTTGGTGAGAGGCTAGAGAGGGTAGCCTTTCCAGACGCACTTCCTCAAAGTTTTTATGAAAGGAGGAGCCTGGTACGACTGGGGGACCTTCTGGATGTGGGTGCCCCCCCCCCATCTTTGCACATTTCACATTTCACCCTTCCCTTCAGCTCTGCTCCTCAAGTGGTCTTGGTATTAACAGTGAGGAGTGACTACACTTCGTTTCTCTTTAGCAGAAATTGCAAACATACAGCCATTGTGACCCGCACAGGATTTGAAAAAGATCTGAGTAACTACCGACACTTAACAACTGTAGTGTTTTGAAGGGGGGATCTACATTTCTAACATCAGCAGCTCTTGCATCAATGGGTTGACATTCCTAAGTCCTAATGAGCCAGCTGAACAATGAGCATCGGTGTTAAAGGACCACATTCTTGTGTCTTGAGGCCAAAGGCCCTCACACAGCTTGGCTCTAAATTTTCAATCACCATCACAAAGCCTGGAGACCAGAGTGGGACAATACAATGGCACTTGTACTTAGCAACCTAGACCCATCATGAAAGTGAATGTATCTCTTTGCTCCTTCTTTTTTTTTTCTGCCAGTTTGAAGCTTGTGTTGAAAATGGTAGAGTCACAATATGGAAAGAGCCTGGGTCCCTCAGTCAACACCTGAGGCACAGTGACCACAGACAGAAATAACTATGTGAGACTTTACAATAGTGATGAACTCATGGTGTGGCATCTGACCATCCCTCATTTGTTCCTGAAGGAGAATAAAAAACCATTATCAGTCCAAGGATGACTTCTATGAGGTAGTCAAACATGACTATCCTTCTAGTCCACAACCTCTTTATCAAGGCTAACACCGGCCTTCTCCTTCCCTACATTATTGGCAGGCTGTCCAATCCCTTTTGTGGGTGACTAACATCCTATTTGCACAGTCCAATCACATATGTGGAAAGAGAGGCGGTGAGAAGTTCCATATTGATGGAACAAGGCCAGGAACGGACTGCAGCTTATCACTTCCTCAGTGCATGCTGAAGATAAAGCTGAAGAAAATGAAAACAAATCCATGGGAGCCAAAATATGACCCTGAGTATCTCTTGCCCATGAATTTATAGATCATCTCAAGAATAGATTTGAAGCACTGAACACTGTCTTAGGCTGCATTCTTTAGAGAAGCAAAACCAATGATGGTCGTTGTTGTTGTTGTTGTTGTTGTTGTTGTTATGTGTCGTCGCGTCACTTGTGACTCATAGCAACCCTATGTACAACAGCCCTAAACCCTGCTTTATTCTGTGCCTATTGCACTGCCTCTGACATGCCCATCCCGATTACTCGTCACTGAATCAGTCTACCTCATAGAGGGTCTTGCCCCATCCCTCCACCCTCCCAAGCATGATGTCCCTCTCCAAGGACCTGTCCCTCCTTGCAACATGTCCAAAGCATGTCAGACGAAGCCCCAGAATCCTTGCCTCCAAGGAGCAGCCCGGTTTAACCCTCTCCTGGATGAATCTGTTTGTTTTCTTGGCAGTCCATGGTACATTCAATACTCTTCTCCAGCACCACAGCTCAAAGGCATCAATTCTTCTATCCTCCCTAGTCATTGTCCAACTCTCTGATGCATAACAAGTGATTGCAAAGACTCTGGCCTTTATTAGGTGCACCTTAGTCTCCAGAGTGACACCATTGCTCTTCAGTACTTTGGAGAGGTCCCAGCAGACTTTCCCATCACAATACGTTTTTTTATTTCCTGGCTACTGGTGCCAAGAGTGTTGACTGTGGAGCCAAGCAGACTAAAGTTGTTAACAATCTCAACCTCTTCACCATCCATCCTGATGCTGCCAATTGTTCCAGTGGTGAGAGAATCTTTGTCTTCTTTATATTGAGCCTCAATCCATACTGAAGGCTGCAGTCCTTGACCCTCTGCAGCAAGCGTTTCAGGTCCTCAGTTTCAGCAAGCAGGGTTGTGTCATCTGCATAACGCAGATTGTTAATAGATCTTCCACCCATCCTGATGCCACACTTCTCATACAGCCCAGCCTCTTGGATAATCTGTTCTGCATACAGGTTGTAAAGGTATGGAGATAGGACACATCCCTGGAGTACACATTTCCCAATTTTGAACCATGCAGTGTTTCCCTGCTCTGTTCTGACGACTGCCTCTTGGTCCAAGTATAGGCGTCAGATTACGATCAAGTGTTCTGGGATTCCCATTCTTCTCAGAGTCAGCCACAGTTTGTTATGATCCACACAGTCAAACACCTTTGCATAATCAATGAAACACAGACACTCTTCTGTTATTCCCTGCTTTCAGATAAGATCCATCTAACATCAGCTACAATATCCCTAGTACCACGACCCCTTCTAAACCCAGACTGGACTTCGGGCAGTTCTCTGCTGCTGGGTTGTTCTAGTCGTTTTTAGATAATCTTCAGTAGAATCTTGCTTTCATGTGACATCAATGGTATTGTTCTATAGTTTCCACACTCAGTTGGGTCACCCTTCTTTGGGATGGGAACAAATATAGATCTCTTCCAGTCAATTGGCCAAGTGGTTGTTCTCCAGATTTCTTGGCACAACTTGGTGAGCACATCCAACCGCATCAGTTAGCTGAAATACATCAACAGGTATACCATCTATTCCTGGGGCCTTATTTTTTGCTATTTCCTTCAGAGCAGCCTGAATGTCTTTTTTCATCACCATAGGCTTTTGCTCATATGTTATTTCATTAAATTCTTATGTATCTGCCAATTCCTTTCAATACAGTGACTCAGTATATTCTTTCCATCTTCTTTTAATACTTCCTGGATCATTGAATATTCTGCCTAAAGCATCCTTGATTATTACCTATCTCTATTTATGTGTGGACTGCTGAGTCAGAACTGACTCATTGCTGACCCTAATGTGGGCTTTCAGAGGCAGGAAATCACATGGGAGGAGATTGTCCATCCTTCTCCTGTGAAATGTAGAGACAGATTTATAAACAGACTAAGAACATTTATTTAAAGAAAATGGCTCACAAGATTGTAGGGTAAATCCCAGATGTATAGGTCAGACCTCAAGATGGAGGCCTCTGAGGAGCAAAAACCCTGTCTGTCAGCTTGTAGGTGGCTCTCACGCTGCTGACTTTGAAGACTCCCAACTTCAGATGCCGATACATCCAGAGGTTGTTCCTGGGAAATAAAATAGACAGCTGGCCTTGGAGACCACCAGCTAAAGAGTCTGCCATGTGCTTCATTGTTGGGGAGAAGGGGCACAGAGATTTGGCTTTGCAGAACACAGGCTGCTGGCTTTGGGCACCAGCGTGTCCAGAGATAACTACTGGGAAACAGGGTCATAGCAAGTACAGCAGGCCACTGGTTCAAGGATGGAGACCACGAGCCAGATGTAGGTGTACTAAAGTCCACTCATAAATACCATACAGCCACATCCCTGGAGAAAAACTTACCCATAATCAGAGAAAACTAATCACATCCTTATAAATCTGCTTGTAATCCTTCCTTTTTAACATCACAGAGGTTAGAATTTACAGTGCACAGAACAGTTTCATATACTGAGAATCATTATTGCATTGATACACAATATTAACCATGACAGTTCACCCCTGGTCATTGGGGCACCCTGTACACATCTCCCTAAGCCATACATAATCCTTTAATAAAAACAATTCTAAAATCAGACTTGTGCCTAACATGATACAACTAACACATTTCATTTGCTATGAAGTGAGTCCCTTAACCTGAGGGGAGACTGTGTAGGATGCCTTAATAACAGGTAAAGCTGTAAGCCTACATAGGGTATTCCAGGTGGCAGTCTCATTCAGGTTGGAAACAGCACATTTCTTTGGTCAGGACAGATTCTCAGGCATGCTCACAGGCCCTTTGACCTTCAGCTTCTCTTGCAGCTTGAGGTCGGTGTTATTTACAAAGCTATCCTTGTCCTGCCAATTATAGTGTCCTCCCCCACCCCCAGTCCTCTAGCAAGCAGCTGAAGGTCCCAGGCTCTGGCTCCTGGGATAGCAGTCCCAGGGCATCTCTGCCTCACATCAGTCTCTGGTTCTCTGCTGCTGCTTTTGTCTAAGTCTAAGGTTGTCTGGCACAGGAAACTATTGTCCCAAAGGACACCAGCTGCATTCTCTACTTCTTTCTTGCTTATAGTGAGATTCTCCTTTTCTGCTTTAAGAAACCTATTCTGTTTAAACCTGCCAAGAATGACCAATCCCCCCATCAGCAGTTTACATATCCTACTTACATGTTCCCACTCAGGCATGATAAAAGGCAATGGCTTAGGAAAGCCAATTTTTTTTCCTATAATTATATTTTATTAATTTTCATAAACATTTACAGAGATTTTGGGCTTCCACTCATTCATTGTTGCACTATTCTCTCTACCCTCCTCCCAGTTTGTTCTTGTCCAAATGCCACAGTGCTTGTCAAAGCCAGTTCTGATTAATCTTCTTTGTCAGTGTGTCCTTTCCCATTCCCTATCACTCCCCCCTGAGAGAGACTTCACCCTGAGTCATAAGGAAAAGGGGATGGCGTATTCTCTTAGCTACTTCCTGTGGAAAAGGGACGCTGTGGGTTTCAGGGTGAAGATCTTCTCTCACTACTCTAAAGGGCCCCTTTGGCAGTAGGAAACACATAGACTATTATGGAGATTGATTTTGGAATTTAGATGCACTCTTATTGATTGTGCTTGGCTGTACATGTTCATATCCTTGAAGATGTATCATGGGGGTG